AATAAACATGCGGGTGCTTTTCTCTAATGACCAGTGATGATGAGCTGTTTTTCATATGTTTGTTGGCTGCATAAATGTCTTCTTTTGAGAAGTGTCTGTTCATATCCTTCACTCACTTTTTGATGGTGTTGCTTGCTTTTTTTCTTGAAAATATGTTCAAGTTCCTTGTACATTCTGGATATTAGTCCTTTGTCAGATGGATAGATTGCAAATATTTTCTCCCTTTCTGTAGGATGCCTGTTCACTCTGATGATAGTTTCTATTGCTATTCAGAAGCTCTTTACTTGAATTAGATCCCACTTGTCAATTTTGGCTTTTGTTGCCATTGCCTTTGGTGTTTTAGCCATGAAGTCTTTGCCCATGCCTATATCCTGAAAAATATTGCCTAGGTATTCTTCAAGGAATTTTATGATTTTAGTGTTTATATTTAATCCAACTTGAGTTAATTTTTGTATAAGGTGTAAGGAATTGTCCAGTTTTCATTTTCTGCTTATGGCTAGCCAGTTTTCCCAACACAATTTATTAAATAGGGAATCTTTTCCTCATTGCTTGTTTTTGTCAGGTTTGTCAAAGATAAGATAGTTGTAGATGTGTTGTCTTATTTCTGAGGCCTCTGTTCTGTTCCATTGGTTTATATATCTTGATCTATATATACATACCATTGGTCTATATATTTTGGTACCAGTACCATGCTGTTTTGGTTACTGTAGCCTTGTAGTATACTTTAAAGTCAGGTAGTGTGATGCCTCTAGCTTTGTTCATTTTGCTTAAGACTGTCTTCCCTATAGGTGCTCTTTTTTGGTTTCATATGAAATTTAAAGTAGCTTTTTCTACTTGTGTGAAGAAAGTCAATGGTAGCTTGATGGGGATAGCATTGAATCTATAAATTTCTCTGGGCAGTATGGTTATTTTCAAGATATTGATTCTTCCTATTCATGAGCATGAAATGTTTTTCCATTTGATTGTGTTCTCTCTTATTTCCTTGAGCAATAATTTGTAATTCTCCTTGAAGCAGTGCTTCACATCCCTTGTGAGTTGTATTCCTAGGTATTTTGTTCTCTTTGTAGTGATTCTCAATGGGAGTTCACTCATGATTTGGCTCTCTGTTGGTCTATTTTTGGTGTATAGGAATACACATTGATTTTTTTTTATCCTGAGACTGTTGAAGTTGCTTATCAGATTAGGGAGATTTGAGGCTGATATTATGGGGTTTTCTAAATATACAATCATGTCTTCTAGAAACAGAGGCAAATTTGACTTCCTCTCTTCCTATTCAAATGTGCTTTATTTCTTTCTCTTGCTGAGTGCCCTGACCAGAACTTCCAATACTATGTTGAACAGGAGTAGTGAGAGAGGGCATCTTTGTCTTATGCCAGTTTTTAAAGGGAATGATTCCAGAGCTTTTGCCCATTCAGTATGATATTGGCTGTGGGTTTGTAATAAACAGCTCTTACTATTTTGAGATATGTTCCATTGATACATAGTTTATCGAGAGTTTTTAGCATGAAGGGCTACTGAATTTTATCAAAGGCCTTTTCTGAATCTATTGAGATAATCATGTGGTTTTTGTCATTGGTTCTGTTTATGTGACAAATTGTTTAGTGATTTGCATATGTTGAACCAGACTTGCATCCCAGGAATGAAGCTGACTTGATCATGCTGGATAAGCTTTTTGATATGCTTCTGGATGTTGTTTGCCATATTTTATTGAGAATTTTTGCATTGATGTTCATCAGGGGTATTGGCCTGAAATTTTCTTTGTGTGTGTGTGTGTGTTTTATTATCAGGATGATCCTGGCCTCATAAAATGAGTTAGGAAGAAGTCTCTTTTTTTCTATGGTTTAGAATAGTTTCAAAAGGAATGGTACCAGGTCCTCTTTGCACCTCTGGTAGAATTCGGCTGTGAATCTATCTAGTCATGGGCTTTCTTTGGTTGGTAGGCTATTAATTACTGCCTCAATTTCAGAACTTGTTATTGGTCTATTCAGGTATTGGCTTCTTCCTGAGTCTTGGGAGGGTATATGTGTCCAGGAATTTATCAATTTCTTCTAGATTTTCTAGTTTGTTTGCATAGAGGTGTTTATAGTATTTTCTGACAGTAGTTTGTATTTCTGTGGGATCAGAGGTGATATCCGCTTTTTTATTGTGTCTATTTGATTCTTCTATCTTTTCTTGTTTATTAGTCTGGCTAATGGTCTACCTATTTTGTTAATCTTTTCAAAAAACCAGTTCCTGGATTCATTCATTTTTTGAAGGGTTTTTCATATCTTTATCTCATTCAGTTCTTCTCTGATCTTAGATATTTCTTGTCTTCTGCTAGCTTTTGAATTTGTTTGCTCTTGCTTCTCTAGTTTTTTTTTCATTGTGATGTTATGATGTTGATTTTAGATCTTTCCAGCTCCCTCTTATGGGTACTTAGTGCTATAAATTTCCCTCTAAACACTGCTTTAGCTGTGTCCCAGAGATTCTGATATGTTTGTGTCTTTGTTTTCATGGGTTTCAAAGAACTTACTTATTTCTGTCTTAATTTCATTATGTACCCAGTAGTTATTCAGAAGCAGATCGCTCAGTTTCCATGTAGTTGTGCAGTTTTGAGTGAGTTTCTTAATCCTGAGTTCTAATTTGATTGCACTGTAGTCTGAAAGACTGTTTATTTCCACTCTTTGGTATTTGTGGAAGAGTGTTTTACTACCAATTGTGTGGTCAATTTTAGAATAAGTGTGATGTGGTGCTGAAGAGAATGTATATTCTTTTGATTTGGTGTGGAGAGTTCTATAGATGTCTATTAGGTCCACTTGGTCCAGAATTGAGTTCAAGTCCTTAATACTCTTGCTAATTTTCTGTCTCATTGATCTATCTAATATGAGTTCAAGTCCTGAATATTCTTGCTTATTTTCTGTCTCATTGAATATTCACAGTGAGGTGTTAAATTCTTCCACTATTATTGTATGGGAGTCTAAGTTTCTTTAGGTCTGAAAGAACTTGCTTTATGAATCGGTGTGCTCCTGTATTGGGTGTATATATATTTAGGATAGTTACTTCTTGCTGTATTGATCCCTTTACTATCATGTAATGCCCTTCTTTGTCTTTTTTGATCTTTATTTGTTTAAAGTGTGTTTTATCAGAGACGAGTATTGCAACTCATTTTTTTTTTTTTTTGCTTTTCATTTACTTGGTAAATATTTCTCCATTCCTTTATTTTGAGCCTATGTTTGTCTACAATTGAGAAGCTCCCTTGAATACAGCATACCAATGGGTTTTGACTCTATCTAATTTGCCAGTCTGTGTCTTTTAATTGGATGATTTAGCCCATTTACATTTATGGTTAATATTGTCATGTGTGACTTTGATCCTGTCATTATGATGCTAGCTGGTTATTTTGCCCATTAGGTGATATGGTTTCTTCATAGTGTTGATGGTCTTTACAATTTGGTATCATTTTGCAGTGGCTAGTATGGGTTGTTTCTTTCCATATTTAGTGCTTCCTTCAGGAACTCTTGTAAGGTAGGCCTGGTGGTGATGAAACCTCTCAGTAGTTGCTTGTCTGTAAAGGATTTTATTCCTCCTTTACTGATGAAGCTTAGTTTAGTTTGATATGTAATTCTGGGTTGAAAATTGATTTTTTAAAGAATATTGGCCCCTACTCTCTTCTGGCTTATAGGGTTTCTGTAGAGACATCTGCTGTTAGTCGAATGGGCTTTCCTTTGTGGGAAACCCAACCTTTCTTTCTGGCTACCATTAACATTTTTTCTTTCATTTCAACCTTGGTTAATCTGACAATTATGTGTCTTAGGGTTGCTCCTCCGGAGGAGTATGTTTGTGGTGGTCTCTGTATTTTCTGAATTTGAATGTTTGCCTGTCATGCTAGATTGGGGAAGTTCTTCTGGATAATATCCTGAAAGTGTTTTTCAACTTCGTTCTATTCTCCCCATCACTTTTAAGTACACCAATCAAACATAGGTTTGGTCTTTTCACATAGTCTCATATTTTCTTAGAGGCTTTGTTCATTCCTTTTCATTCTTTTTTCTCTAAGCTTTTCTTCAGGATTTATTTCATTAAGTTGATCTTCAGTCTCTGATATCCTTTCTTCTGCTTAATTGATTCAGCTATTGATACTTGTGTATGTTTCACGAAATTCTCGTATGTTTTTCAGCTACATCAGGTTACTTACGTTCTTCTCTACACTGGTTATTCTAGTTAGCAATTCATCTAACCTATTTTCAAGGTTCTTAGCTTCCTTTCCTTGGGTTAGAACATGCTCATTTAGCTCAGAGGAGTTTGTTATTAGTCACCTTCTAAAGCCTACTTCTGTCAACTCGTCAAACTCATTCTCTGCCCAGTTTGGTTCCCTTGCTGGCAAGGAATCGTGATCCTCTGGAGAAGAAGAGGCATTCTGGTTTTTGGAAATTTTAGTCTTTTCGAGCTGGTTTTTCCTCACTGTCATGGATTTATCTACCTTTGGTCTTGGATATTGGTAACCTACAGGTGCAGTTTTTGTGTGGATATGTTTTTTGTTGATGTTAATGCTATTTCTTTCTGTTTGTTAGTTTTCCTTCTAACAGTCAGGTGTCTCTGCTGCAGATCTGCTGCAGTTTGCTGGAGATCCACTCCAGACCCTGTTTTCCTGGGTATCACCAGTGGAGGCTGTAGAACAGCAAAGATTGCTGCCTGTTCCTTCCTCTGGAAGCTTCATTCCATAGGGGAACCTGACAGATGCCAGCCAGAGCTTTCCTGTGTGAGGTATCTGCCAGCCCCTGCTGGGAGATGTCTCCTAGTTAGGCAGCATTGAGGTCAGGGACCCACTTGAGGAGGTAGTCTGTCCCTTAGCAGAGTGCAAGTGCTGTGCTGGGATATGTGCTGCTCTCTTCAGAGCCAGCAAGCAGGAACATTTCAATTAGCTGAAGCTACACCCACAACCTCCCCTTTCCCAGGTGCTCTGTCCCAGGGAGATGAGAGTTTTATCTATAAGCCCCTGACTGGAGCTCCTGCCTTTCTTTCAGAGTTGGCCTGCCCAGAGAGGAGGAATCCAGAGAGGCAGTCCAACTATAGCCACTTTGCAGAGCTGACGTGGGCTCCACAGCTTTGAAAGTCCTGGCAGCTTTGCTTATACTGTGAGGGAAAAACTGCCTACGCAAGCTTCAGTAATGGTGAATGCCCCTCCCCGCACCAAGTTCAAGCATTTCAGGTCAACTTCAGACTGCTGTGCTGGCAGTAAGAATTTCAAGCCAATGGATCTTAGCTTGCTGGGCTCTGTAGGGGGTGGGATCCGCTGAGCTAGACCATTTAGTTCCCTGACTTCAGCTTTCTTTCCAGAGGAGTGAATGGTTCTGTCTCACTGGCATTCCAGGTGCCACTGGGGTATTAAAAAACCTCCTGCCACTAGCTCAGTGTCTGCCCAAATGGCTGCCCAGTTTTGTGCTTGAAACCCAGGGCCCTGGTGGTGTAGGCACTCAAGGGAATCTCCTGGTCTGTGGGTTGCCAAGTCTGTGGGAAAAGTATAGCAGATGGGTCGGAATGCATGGTACCTTATGGCACAGTCCTTCAGAGCTTCCCTTGGCTATAGGAGGGAGTTCCCTGACCCCTTGCAATTCCCAGGTGAGGCAACAACCCATCCTGCTTTGGCTCACCCTCTATGGGATGCACCCACATCTAACCAGTCCTAAAGAGATGACCCGGGTACCTTAGTTGGAAATGCAGAAATCAACCATCTTCTGTGTTGATCTCTCTGGGAGCTGCAGACCAGAGCTATTCCTATTCTGTTATCTTGCCAGCCATCTCTGTAGTTTTTAATGTTAAATCAAACTGTTAACTTTTTAAGGCTTTGATGATTATAATCAGAAGGGTTTTTGAGAAAAAAGTTTAGATTCTGAGTCTTCATTTTCTCCTTTTGAAAGTTTTATAGCTTCAGAAGTGTCCACTTACATGTATTTTCCTAGTATTTCTGGAATTTTCAAATTTATACTCTAAAGTATTATTATATCATAAGCTTAGAAATGGACAAGATAAAAGAAACAGGTTCATTTGAACACCCTCTTCCTCTCTTTCCCTTTCTCTTTCTGAACAAAGTCTCTCCCCTTTCAAACATAGTTCAAACATAGTTTTCACGAAGAAATCGTGACCAAACTTCACCAATGCTCATGCTATAATAACTGTACATCTGATTTGAACTCAGCTCCAAAGAAGACAACATTCACATGGCTTTAATATGCACGGAGGTAACTGTAAATATATATTACAATTATATATTTATATGTATATTACATTATATATAAATTGCAATTATCTACACTCCTGTATATACCAGTACTCCCTTAAAATATAGTCTGTTCTGAGTTCTTCAAGCACAGAGAATTCTAGGGCACATGTAATGTGAGGGCACTTCATTATGTACTTTTATCACCAGTTATTTTATTTTGAATTAATATTTTATTTCAGGAACATAGGATTGTTTTTACAGTGAACCATCTTTGACTGTACATTTATAAGAACTAGATTTAGCTTCTGCCAATATATTTAATAAGAGAATTCAGTTAATTTCATCAAATTGTTTCTACAAATAATCATTTGGATAATTTAGTATGAGGAAGAATAGAAATAAATATTTTTCACTCATTTGATTTATGCTAGCAAATTATATAATACAAAAAAATAAGTTAAAATAATAAGGATTAGTTTTCAAAATACTCCTTTGTTCTAATTACTGAAATATTCTTAATAATAACATTTTTTCCAGCATTATTAAGGCATAATTGATGAATAGAAATTGTATATTATTTTTGGTGTACAGTGCCATGTTCTGATACATGTGCATATTGTGAAATGATTACCATAATCAAGCTAATTAACATATTCATCTCTTTGCATAGTTACCTTTTCATGTGTGTGAGAGAACACTTAAGATCTAGTCTCTCTGCAAATTTTAGTACACAATATGGTACCCAGTAATAACATTTTGAGGCTTAAGCATCCATATAACTCTCTTGATCCTTTATTTTTCATGTATAGAAAAAAGAAAATATATCACAACTCTGAAATGCTATAATCAGAATTCTAATACACAGTAGGAAATTAGAAAATATTGGTATAAAATGAGGTCAAACTAGATTTTGCACCTACAGACAAAAATGAATAAAATTCCTTTCCATCAGATGTATAAAAGTTAATCCAATTTATCAAATAGTAGAAACATTGATTTTATGTGTTATTTTTCAGACTTTAGCCATATTTAGCCTTTCAAATCACCATGATAACTTTCTGATCCATTGCTTTCCTTAGCTTTGTTGCTATTATATAGCTTTATCTGATTGATATAATTTTTAAATATGTATTTATGACAATAAATCTCCAATTTTCAATTAGTTTGTATTTATAAAAATCCAATTTCTAAATATCTTATCTATGTCGGTTAACATTCACAAAAATAAAGATCACTTTATCAATTGGGGCTAATTCTAGAGACTAAGCAGAAAAATAACCTATTATTTTCAAATTTGCTTTGTTGTCTACACTCCGGTATACACCAGCACTCCTGAAATATAGTCTGCTCTGAGTCCCTCAAACACAGAGAGTTCTAGGGTACATATAATGTTAGGGCACTTCATTATGTATTTTTGTCACCAGTTATTTTGTTTTGAATTAATATTTTATTTCAGAGACATGGGATTGTTTTTACAGTGAAGCATCTCTGACTCTCAAGCTATTGCCTACAATCACTGTTACTAATGCAGCACCATCACATGAGAGCCAAGGATTAAACCTGCCAAAACAAGCCTGAGATTTTATAGTCACAGGAAATTAATTACTACACATAGAAATAAAACTAGTCACATCTCCAGATTATTTCAAAGTAGTCATTTTATAATATTTTATAATAATAGTCTGATTGATTACACCATTTCTCTTGAAATTTTTGCCATCTTAAAACCTGATGATAGATATCAGGATAAAACTATTTTACTCTACTTTAGGCCACTTCTATTATTTTGAATCTTTGCACCATTTTATTTTCACTCTTAACCCGAAGAGGACCTTCTCTTTATTTTCCTACCTCTCTTACCAGGAGTCAGTCACTACCCGGCCATCCAGAGCAGAGAGGATTGTCCATTTAATAAGGAATTACTGCCATCTTGTGGCTACCATAATTGAACGTAAATATTTCTAATGCTCTAGACAATTTAAAAAAATTAAAAGATTGAGATGTTATGTGCTATTTTATCCATTTTAATTTCAACATACCTCATTAAATAGACACTATGATACACAATGTTTTTTAGTGAAAATATGTATATGAGCATTAGAGCATTCAGGAAGATGATCTCTGTTCTACATTTCATCAAAATCCAGCAGTAAATGAAAAATGTAAAGTTTCAATCTAAAATAAAAATATGAGTCTGCACAGGATAGACAATTATGTAGAAAACTAAGTGGAGGCATTAACAATTTCTAACACCCCCCCTTCAGCAATTTATCTTCATTTCTTTTAATGCTAAGAATTTGTAGAGGATCATAATTCAGTAGGTTCAAATATTTCTAACTCCGAGGTGACATGTTTGCCACACATCTCAATAGCCCATGTCAGCACCGGAAATTGGCCAAGACCTACCAATAACCAGAAACAGATTTGAAGTAAATGCTTCTCTCAGATCTGTATAGCACATGTTGTCCTCAATATTCTTTCCCGTGACATGTGACAAATTTGCAAATTCTGCATTTTTAAGATTCACATGGTAGAGCCAGTAAAACACTGGCAGTGAGATCCAATAAGCACATCTCAGAACACTTTGTTCTGAAAATATAAAGCAAAAATATAACTCTGCTTCTCTGTCAAGATATGTGACATCATTTAAAGCAACAATTTGTTTTTTGAGAGGAGGCTTTAAGGTTTATTTATCTGAATGCATTTGATTGAGGAAAGCAGCTTACTAAAATCTTACTTAAAAAACGAGATGTTCAAAAAGAACATTTTCCCCTCATGTGTATTGGGCTGAAGTGTAAAACCTTAAATAATGGTAGAAAACACTCCACCTGGTGGTAGAAGAAAAAGGGTAGCAGCTTTCTGCAAAAGATCCTCAGACAAAAAGATGGAGTGTATCGACAGAATACAAGTCTAGCTAGAAACCATGTCAGATACTCCACTGCAGTTGGTGAGCATCTTAAAAGCAAAATCCCAACAGAATTTGTCTCTCTATAAATCTTTCCACCCCTTTCCATTACTAGGTGGGTATTGTTGGCTCTAAGCCATCTGATTTTACTATGATTTATTAACTGCTATGCATTATATATGAGATTCAGGTTTGCTGAAGAGTTACCTTATGGTCATTGTTGCATACAAATCAGCTACTGTTAGAGAGGTTTATTGCATCATTTTATGCTGCTAGCACTTCTGCTTAGGCATATATGTAACTGGAAAAAAAAAATCCCTCCTGTTAAATTTTCCCATATATGTTACTAGCACATGCAGTGCATATTAAGAACAATAGTCTTTTGTTCTGTTCTGTTTATAAAAAGAAGAAAAAGCATCCAGAACAATGGGCGAGAAGAAATAAAAACTTGTTGTCTAAATCAAAGGATTGGTATTCTCCAAATCGTTGCTACCACATTGAGCCATTTTCTCTGGTAAGACCAACTGAAACGTGAGAAAGAACAATAATGTGAATAAAACCAATTTATGCTTGGTAGGAAATTGGAAAAAATGGTAGCAGAGATCTAAGCATATCTGTCTCTGAAATAAGCTAGCACAAAACAGTACTTCCACCCTCTTTTTTACATTGAGCCATTTGATTAACTAAGTCAACTTGAATTTCTAGTCCAGCTCTCAGTACAATGACTTGACAGCTTGCCTTTGGCACTTTGCTTATGTGTTTGCTCATACCTGGCATAAACAATCAAGACAAAAGCAACACATTACCTAAATGGCCTTGGTTTACCTTCAACAATAGGGAGAATGGATATTGTCTTACATACCCAACAGAAAGGGAAAAGGCATGGCTGACCATATATTTTTTTTTTTAAGCTGGAAAAGAAGGGATGTTTTCCTTCCTTTCTGAAATTGTGCCAGGTTATCCTAACTGAAAGCATTGCTGTCAGCTTTAATGTAGCGTATGTTATTAAGTGTTTCTGAAGAAAGACGTTATTATTAGGTAACAGCATTATGCCCAAGAAGAATGAGGCAAATATTCTGCACCCTCAACTTTAGTAAGCCTTCTGCAGGCATACTAGAATCATATCTACTAAGATATATATAAAATGACTTTAGAATCTTAAAAAATATGTATTTGTTTTAAAAATTTTATAAGTTATCCATTAATGCATTTCCTAATATTTTTAAATAGATTGATTTCCTCTTAAGTATTTGAGTGTCATGGTGAAAAAGTTTTAAAAGTAGTTTAGTATAAAACTACTTATTGGAGTCCTACTCTATGCCTACTGATCACTTTTAAGCATAACAGAGAAGAATGGCTTGTTGACATTAGGGATTCTTAATGTCTTCAAGTCTCTGATTTTTACAGAAATTTTCCATGTATAGCGAGTTTTATGTCACAAAAACTGCCAGAGATAGGAGATTCTTAGAAGGAAAATGAGACCTTGAAGGAGAGGGCAGACAACATGAACCAAGAGAGTAAACTGTTCTCATGCATAGGTAACTTTGAAAAGTACCAATGATAGGTTATACTATCAAAATAAATCCATATTCTATAATGTCATCAATGCCTTCAAACTGAAGACTTTTCCAGTTTCCTGGATCAATGCTTAAGAAATGCCCTAAATACAGGATCACAATTTTATGTGATAACCATCCCATGTCCCACCTCTGCCTCCTGAATTTTCCTTTAAGGGGGATATTGTTTTCCTTCCCAAAGCATATATGATTCAGAGATGTGGAAAACACATCTTCTAAAAAGGAACTATTAATTGGCATATGATATTATTATAATGCTTTAATTTCCTTTGGGGAAAAAAACGCCTAAAACCAAATAATTACCAATTTTTAAAAGATTTTCAAAATGTGTGATTGAAAAATCTCAGAAGAAACCCCCAAACTATTGTGTCATGCAGTTTGTGTGTATTACAGTGTCTTTTTAAAAATCAGTATTTATGATCTCTATTTTCTGGGTGACTAACATGAATTAAAATGGACTGCACAATGAGAAAGTGAAGATCATTATGCATTGCTTATTCCAGTCTTTCTATCTTCCAATGACACTATTTAGACTGATAAACATCATTTGGCCTTGGCAATCTAGACACACCAGTCTGCGAATAAACCCTAATTAAGTTAAGTGGTATCTCTCCAAGGACATCTGCTACCAAAGGTTTCAAATATCCACAACAAAACATAATATTCCAACTTCCAGAAACATGATTAATATGAAAATATTTTTCTCCAAAAGGATAAAGTTATGATTTGAGATTTTGCTCCCATTATTTTAGAGCTACAAAACTTCCAGTCTTATGTCACTTCTTTTTTTTTTTTAAGAGTTATTTACATCCTCTTACTCCACACACAGTTTGACAGGTGTAATCAAAATGAATGTAAACAATTAAACAGAAAAGCATGATTATATAGTGGAGGTTGGAAGAAAATCTAAGAATTTTTTTTTCTCTTTGGTGAGGAAGTGGCTTAGTTAAACTTTCCCTTGACCTCTGTTGATTTATGATACACTTACTTTCAGATGTTGTCTCTACAAAGCAAAGTGAAATGGACAGTTTTCCAGCTAATTTGTTTTGTATGGACCGCCAAGCTGGACACTTGCAGACCACAAAGTCTGTGAATGAGAACCTGGGAGCTGGCATGAGAAGAACTGAGCTGGAGCATTTCGCCATCACTGAATAAATAACTTACCCTCTTGAATTCTTCCCTGTACAACTGGAGTAAGACACCACCCTGGCTTTTACACAGTTTGTGAGCTAATAAGATAATGCTTATGTACCTGTTTTAATATGAATAAACTGATATTAAAACGGCACATAACACAATCATTTTTACTACACCAGTCTTCATTATAAATTATTTTATCTGTATTTATAGGACTGAGTTGCTAGATTTTTAAATGAATGTGTGATGAGTTACACCAAGATAATTAATATAAGCATTTATAATATTTATAGACAAAAATTTTATTTTTCATACTTCTGACGATGAAAGAAAGATTATTTTGTCTAATGCTATTAAATAAGCTGGATGTACTCAAATTTTCACATTTTCTGATAAAAAGAGATTTTAAGAGGAAAAAATATTTATGAAATGCCCATATGGGTAGAAGTAAAATTTTTGTTGTGGGAAATTTAAAGGGCCCCTCTCTTAGCAACACTGAATTTATGCAAACACTGAGTATTACTTGATTCAGCGAATGTCAGTTGTAAGTTTAAGGTAATTACAGTATTTGAATGGGACGGAGGAGGATAGGTATTACAAATTAGGGTAGAAGGAAAGGAACTTCACAGTGACCTTGAAAAATTTAAGACAGAATTTGGCCTTTATTGCTTTTTAAAAAGAAGATGCCCCATCATCCTTTAATTGACCAGTAAGAATATGAAGCTGCATTCCCGCATGCTACATAGCATAAGTTGATTTAATGCATTTTCTATATTTAACACTATATTACCATACAGCTTATACATATTCAAAACAATTGTCAGGCTACAGCTTTGTCACATTGTGCATTATTTACAATCACTTGTAAATCCAGAAAAATACACACGCAGAGAAAGGAAAGCAGGAGGTAGAGATTGTTTTAATGTGATTATATTGGCATCTGATATGATGGGTGCTTTGGACCATATTGACATGAGTGAGGATTCTATGTAGCAACTGTTCAATACCATCCGTTGGACTTCTCTGATAGACCACTTAACTATCTCAGCTTTTCTAGTGATCATCTCATTTATCTAGGATTATTGCACTGAATTTACTGTTTGGTTTTCTTCCAGAACTGAAATGTCAAGTCCAGTGTCATGTATGCAGTAGCTTTGTGCTGTGAGAGCTTCACAGATCCCCCAAAAGCTGCTAGCAGTTGATCTTTGGATAGAGCTAGAAATAAATAAATCCTCTTTAGCAGATCAATATTCATCCCATTTAATGCTTGATGTGAAACTTGTGGATTTGTGGTGGTAATGCTGATGTACAGCTAATCGTTGAAAATGGGCATTAGGGCTTTTATAGCATGGCAACATATTGTCAGGCAGGAAGGGAAAGAAATGGAAAACACAGCCGAGAAAAAAAATTGGTAAGTTTATATAAATTTGCTGCACATTTGGAATCCACTTGGGGTGTTTTACTATGCAATACTAGAAGCTAATAACATGGACAACAAACAGATCTGCTCTGTCAAAGAAATCTCTGGCCTTTACTTGGTTTGCCTCTCTTTGTTAGACTGTGTATAAAAATGACTCATTTTGAGACCCTGGTGTTAAAGAAAATGATACTGAAATTTTTTTCTTTTGCTGTTTATTACAAGTTTCAACAGTTACAGCACAAAAACCAGTTTCATGTAAAAACTATAACTTGGAGAAACAACAGAGTTTTTGCACTGGAAATTCATACTAAAATTTTTTTTAATGAATGATAGTTTTATACTCAAAAGAATGGAATATAAAATTGTGTCCTGAATAAACTCAAACTGACAAGGAATTTCATCCTTCTAGTGAGAGAAGTTTAAAACATGGCTAGTGCCAATGGTTAAAGTATTTTTTTTTCTTGTCCATGGTGTGAGAGTCATATATCACACATTTCTTAGATTGCAAGGGTTAAATTTATCCTTTTTGATTCAACAATTTTATTTTTTGCTGTAGATGTATGATAATTCCAACTAACATGGTGTCAGAAAAAGCAAGTTGGTGCTGGGCATTCTTTGCATGCAGTAACTTTTAGCATAGGCATATAAGCTGTAATACAGACACTTGTGGTCATCAACGGCATACATATTTTCAACCATATTTCTTGATTATTAACTTAATGTAATGCAAGCAAATGTGTATGTGATCCTTGTGTGAAAACTTTGGCTTCTCAATGTTCTTACTGATTTAGGCTGCCCCTGCTGAATTTTAGAAAGCGTCAAAACTTATTTGTTAAAGGGATGCCTTTATGAGTAAAACATGAGAAATATGCACTTACTGTAAGCATTGAAACTAGAGAACTGATACTGATTTGTTTTCCCTAGGATATTCTTTCTTAAATAGTAGGTTTTCATTTACATTTACTGAGAAATGAAATGTTATAAACTTTACATGCTAGGAAAGGTCGTTAAGCCTAAAACATGCAGAGTAACATCTGCTGGCTACAGATATTTGGTAGACTTTTCAGAAGTGTCAGCTTCCGTTGTGCAAGCTCTAAACTTTACAACTGATTAATATTTTCCCCTGGTAAGGGATCTTGGGCAGTCACAGTTCCCCTGGTTTGCAAAGGCTGACAGATGAGCAGGCAGGTCATGGTCACAAGATAATGTTTATCTGGTGAAAAGTAAATCAGTAAACAGGGGAGGAAAGGTATGTTTATGCTAGAGGCCATGAAAGTTGGGAAATAGTAATGTGCAAGGCAGAAGATAACAATTGGGAAAGTATGTGGGTGTGGCTGCAACACTATATACTGGAAGTTCATGCACATACATGCAGAAATGCATTCTGCTAACCTGGATATGGAAAGAGGCATAATAATACATGAATGTGTAAGTACTGAGACACAATCCATTATGTTATGTGTGGATATGTGTGTGAGTGCATATATACAAAGGGGATATCTTAATCCCCTTCTAGGGCTTGAAAAGACAAATCTATTTGAAAATATCTGTCTTGAAAGTAAAAATCTTAAAGTTTGTATCAATTCATGAATAACTGAATAACTAACACAGAAGGTAGGGTGTCTTCTATCTACCTTTAGATTTTGAGGTTGATATCAGAGAAGATGAACAGCCTTTTGTTCTACACAGCAAACCTTTGAACCTGAAGAATGTTGGGCTGATTGACCTACTGTGACAATTCTCATGTAGATCTAAAATGATATGCAAGTCAAGGATTTTGCATTTTTCAATCCAGAAATTAAATATTTTGCAAGTTCTGGATATTTTGTTTATAGGAAATTATTATTAGGAACTTCACAGCTGACATATTATTTGATATACCGATTCATTAGAAAACTAGTAAATATTTCATAGTTATTCACTATATATTTATTATTATTCATAATTAATAATATAATCATTGTTAACAATAGTTACATTCTCCCACCTGAGTTCTGGAAAGTACTATTCATGTAGCTTCTTAGGAATAAAGAAAAAATATGTCCCCAAGCACCTGTAGAACAACTTGCTTCATATTCTCCTCTCAGTTACCATGCTGCTTATTTAAAGAGAAAAAGATTTTGAAACATTTTTTATAAAGCAGATGTTACTAGGTTCACCATTTTCTATGTGTTGACTACTCCAAAACCAAGAGACAAATGATGCATTTGTCCTTATATTTATAATTATTTTTACTTATTGATTTCTTCAATGAATAGTTATTGAACACATTTTGTGTGGTAGCCAAGATGTGGCTCTTGATCAGGATGACACATCTCTTACTTTTGCCTTTCCTTTAGTCCTTGAAACATGATATGTAAGTGCCTATTTTTGAGATGTTCATGTTTGTCAACTGTACTAAGTTATTTGTGGAGCAATATCAAGTATAAATAAATAACACAAAGACGGTTGGGGTGGTAAATGGATGAACAACAATTAAAGCATGTTCTATCAAGACATGCATATGGATACATAGATATATAGACAGCTAGTAGGTTGTGTGAAGAGGCTTGTGTTATTATGGGATCCTGGCTACTCACAAACTGCAGAGCTTTGCCAGTTCTCCTAGATCAGAACCTATCAGCTGAGCAACAGATTACATTCTTCCATAGGAAACGAAACTACCCAGGCTGCACTACTTACACAAAGAAGCAGGGTCAGCTTCCGAAATTAGAGAAAATAAAACCTAAATTTTTCCTAGATATTAAGTAATTGGAGTAGCACCCACATGTAGGTAGAATGGTAAATTAAAATGAAAATTCAATGATTTAGAAATTATTCAATGATTCTTTAGAGAGTACTAGAGAGAGAAAAACGTACATAGAATAAATTTATGTTGTTCAAAATATGTGTGCATATGATGGAATCAAAAATCAGGTTATATTCAGGGAGTAAGCCCTTCAGCCCATCTCTCTGGAGCGAAAGGCTTCAAAGGTTATATATACCTTGAGTGATGTGTTGGTTGACACTGGGGATTTAGATAGAGTCACATAATTTTATGTGGGGTTGGTTGAATCCAACCCCACATAAAATTAGTTGGGGTATAACTTTCTAAAAGTTCTAATCAAACCAGTGGTGAAATCATGATGGTCTGGGTGAGAACTAAGATTTTTTTCTCACTAATATTTCAGACCCAATTTCTCACCTCATTTCAGATAAAATGAGTCCATTTTCTGGAAGGTTTTCTATTGTGAAATGTCTTCTATGGACTAATGTACACAAGAGAGACCTGGCCTTGTGAGTCACTGGCAGATGGATGCTTTATCAGTGTATTTTGTCTGTGTAAATATAATTTATAATATTTTAACTAAAATTTGCTGGAAGAAATACTCCTTAAATGTGGAAGTTCATCACTTTACCTCACTTCCACTAATCCCTGTTAAAATATTATAAATAACATAGAGCTCAGAGTTGCAAAACAGACACCTAACAAGACTTAACCAAAAATCTTTTGCAAAAGATTCAAGTAAAACCTTACAACCGATAACTAAACCAACACGCTTTGATCCACATGAATTATCTATAGTCTTTATCCAATTTATCTTTAGAAAAACGGAGAAGAAAAAAAATCCTCATATTTTAAGCAGATTATATAGAGGCTTTTCTCAAAAAAAAAAAAAAAAAAAAAAAGAAAAGAAAAGAAAATGTCCCTTGAGAGT